TTTTTCCTATATATATATATATATATACACACACACACATTCATCCAAAATCCTTCTATTAAAAAAAAGGTTCCATATTCAGCTAGAAAGATATAAGTACTAGTGAGATCCTTCAATTCTTTCCTTAGTTAGGACCACATAAAGATTCTTCTTAGTCACCCTTACTAAACCAACTTTTATTTCAAATAAGATCCAGATCAGTTCTTACTGTAATACGATTATCTTTATAACTTTTATTCGTTTAGACTTTACTTTTTATTCTCTTTTTCTTTCTGGTCCAATATTTGTTCTACCTAATTGTAAGTTGAATCTCTCTCTGAACATGGATGAAGGTGGTGAAGATTGTTTCATATGGGAAAATCAAGGTTGGGGTTTTCTGAATTCGGATAACTCAGGTGGTAACGAGGCAAAATCAAGTGGTACAAAGTTACCCGATACCTCGCAACTGCCTGTATCAGATGGTGTTGCTAGGGAGATAGAGATGGCAGGACCATCCAACGGTAGAAAGAGGAGTGCACCAGGAAAGAACGGTGTCAAGGGAAATAGAGAAGTGAATGAAGGAAAAGTTAATGGAGCAGGAGAATCAGATCATGAGATGCATATATGGACAGAAAGAGAGAGGAGGAAGAAGATGAGGAACATGTTCTCTAATCTTCATGCTTTGCTTCCTCAACTTCCCCCTAAGGTAAATTCTTTTCCTTTAATGGCATATATAAAGAGAACCCCACCAACATGGAATATAGAGAAAAAAAAATGATTCTTTCCTTTTTTGATGGTAGCAAATCCAATGTTTCTAAATTCGGTATGTCAAGCTCAAGGTGAGATACATTATTCTTTATGAAAATGATACCTGGCTTACTTCTTATGGTAACCAAACTACCAAAGTAGTCACCTAAGACAATGGATTGTCAATGTCACAAATAATTACGATGTAGAAATTGACCATATAAGGTATACACATTTTAACATAGTACAGTAACATGCATTTTGTCTTTCCTCAACAAGGGAAGAAACAAACAAAAAAAGACTTCCGCAATTTTCGCATGTGGTTCAGAAGCTCAGAAAGTACCTTCCTTCTCCACTTATTTATTTCTTTTTGTTGAATTAACTCAACCTTCTCTACTTTGTTAACCATGCAAATTTCTCCAAATGAACTAAATTGCATAGTCCAATTTCATGGCAGTTTGAAAAGATTTAAGTATAAACACAAGAAATATTTACACAATGAATGTACTTTAAAACGTGATAGCACATTACTTACCGATTTTAGAAAGTTATCAATTAATACTCCATGTGTTTCAGTTTAGGATGTAGTTTGACTTGGCACAAAGTTTAAGAAATTTCTTTTTTTTTGAATTAAGTGATGGAAAATCTTAAGGGGCAAAATCTTTGTGGGGTCATGACATTTGTGGCTAAAAAAGCTTCTTATTAAGGGTAAAGTGAGCAAAATGAAAAGTTTAAAGTTAAATTATTTTCAAATATAGAGATGCGTCATTCTTTTTTAAATGGTCTAAAAAAAAGTATGCTAATTTAAATTGAAAAAGAGGGAGTGATATTTATCAACAACAACATACCGAGCGTGATCCCACAATTGGGATTTGAGGAGAGTGAGTGTACGCAGACCTTACCCCTACTTTATGTGAGTAGAAAGATTGTTTCCAATAGACACTCGGCTAAAGAAAAACGTTTTCAGAACAGGTTTGAAAAATACAAGAGTAAAAAAACTACGATGAAAATACCATTCTTGCATAGAAGTTAAAACTCCTCATGAAATTATTATGTTCTTAATCAATCCAAGTCTTTAATTCGTATTAATAACTATATATAAATGTAGGCGGACAAGTCAACAATTGTTGATGAAGCAGTGAACTACATAAAGACACTTCAGCATACCCTTCAGAAGCTTCAGAGACAGAAGCTGGAGAGGCTCCATGGCATGGCAACTTCAATGAATCCTTCCATAATCACCTCTCAGAAACTAAGTGCTGACAGTATTATAAGTAGGGAGGCATTTTTAGCTGATCAGGGCTCTACAAATAACGCTGCCATCAGCCCAACAAATAATGCTGCTAATCCCATTTCAATGCCACATTTTCCAGCAGTCTTTCAATCTTGGACATCTCCTAATGTTATCCTAAATGTTTGTGGGGAGGAAGCTCACATTAGTGTGTGTTGTCCCAAAAAGCCAGGCCTTTTGAGTAGCATTTGTTATGTTTTAGAGAAGCACAAGATAGAGGTGGTATCTGCCCAAATTTCATCTAATGATCACAGAAACATGTACATGATTCAAGCCCATGTAAGTCCATTTCCTCTCTTTAATTTCATTCCTTTTGTTTGTCTTTTTTTATTGAGAAAAAAAAAAGAAATGCTACAATGAACTTGCTGCACCTCTCATAGAGTCCATATAGTTTTTTAGTAGTAAAACGTGTTACCGAGTCTCTCAATTTGAACAATTTAATAAATAGTTACAAGGCTGCTATGATGGCCATTTAGAAGTTTCCAAACTAGGGTTTGAGCAGTAGAACAGGAAAATCTGGGGGCAAATATTTTCCCCCTTTTGTCAAAAATTCTCAACTATAGGCTTACCATCATAGCTTATTGCTTATCATCATTACTTTGTTAGGAAAACGCGATAAGCACGCATTTAGATCCCGTTTAGACATAAGAAATTTTTTTTCCCTTTTCCAAAAAACAAAATTCACTTTTTTCCGAAATAAGCGTTTGTTCCTAAAATTTCTAATTTTCACTTGAAGATGCATTTTGAAAAATTTCAAAAAGCTGTTTATAAAAAATTATACTCAAATTACTCATAAAACTTCAAAAACAACCCAAAATTATATTCATGTCCAAACACAACTCTAAATTTCAAATACCATTCACTTGAAAAAAATTTCCCCCTATTTTGGAACTTTACAATTCTTATGTCCAAACGCCCACTTAGTCTGTCTTAATATTTCTTAAATGTTGATTTCTAGAACATGGGTACACTACAAAAGAAAGGAGGGAAAATAGTGTTAAGTGGGAATTGATCTTTATTTCTTTGAGTAAATAATTAAGGATTGAACCAAGTGCACCATTCAATCTTTAGAGAGCATGAATACCAATACATAATATTGGACCAATTATATTCTAGAAAATACATAGTTTATTAAAATACATAAAATACCTAGTTTAACAAAGGGACTACTGGTTCACGTGCCCCATAATTGATGCTATAGATCGCCCCTGCTTGCTGTAATGTTTATTAAAATGCACAACCCCCCCCCCCCCCCCCCCCCGCCTCTGGGTTTGGTTTGAAATTTATTATTGCAATTAAAGCTCTATATGCACACTGAAATTACCACATGAGAATAATATGGTTTCTTAGAATGTTATTAAGTATTTTGTGACACTAGGGTTTCCTGTAATACATATGTTTGTCACACTAGCGTTTTGATTGGTAGTTGAGTTTCGATCGGTTTGATCACTTCAAAAATTTTCAGGCAAGTGGAGCTTCTGATAAGTTCTCTGAAACGTTTCCCGTGGAAGAAATATACAAGCAAGCAGCAGGAGAAATAATAATGTGTGTAACATCCCAGTGATATATACTGCATATTTCACCATAAGAGATAAAGGAGCAAAAGGGATATATACTCATAAACTTCTATATATAGAATATATAGAAAGGCTGCATGCAATGTTTTTAATTTATGTAGAAACTAGAAGATGATAGCCATGGAGATATAAATGTTTTGGTATCAGCATTAATTGCCTTATAAATGGCTCCTGAAACTATTTACTGAATGGAATGCTCTTTGAACTTTTGGTTCATAGGTTTAACTCTTCGATGCTGCTCCCTCCTGTCCACAATAAGTGACCAATTTACTTTTTGATTTTGGTCCAAAATAAGTGTCCATTTATATAATCAAGAAAGAATTCAATTTGTTTTTACAAAATTTCCCTTATGTACATATCCAAAAAGTTTTCTTACTCCTCACATTAAATATTTAATTAAAGGTAGTTTAGTCATACTAGGTATTTTTATATAGAATTTAGTATTTTCTTAATGGGCATGCCAAAAGCAAATTGGTCACTTATTGTGGACCGGAGGGAGTAAACTATAAGTGAAGTTTTGGGTTTTCATAATTTACGAAGATATGAGCATCTCTCTCAAAAAATAACGTATCACGCGCGAACATAATTAAATACTATTAGTTGCATGTAGTTCATTGTTTGAACGATCTCATTATCGGTATTAAATAACTATTGTTCCTCTACTTCTCGAAAAGGACAGATTCTTCCGTCCGTTGTACTATTGGTCCACTAGTGCCCTTAAAGTTAAAAAGGCTTAGAAAAAGAACCTCTTTTTTGTTGTTCACATCGTACCAACTAGTTATGAAATTGGATTGATAGCCTCCACCCGTGTTCTAGCTCGCCGCGGAGCTAGATTTGCCTCAATATTTTGTCTCCTTCTTTCAACCATTTTCACATTAGCTTTCACTATTTTAAGAGTTTGCTGTGTTTTTTGTGGATCAACCATGCAATCCGACAAACATGTCATTTATACCGTTAAACTTGCATTTAGCAAATGCTTTATAATAATATACTACACCTCCGTTCCAATTTATATGGCAGTGGTTGACTAGGCACAAAGTTTAAGCAAGAAAGGAAAATTTTTAGAATTTGTGATCTAAAATGAGCCAAAGATACTTTTTCGGCTATAAATCATCTCATTAAGGGTGAAATTGAATATTTTTAAAGTTAAATTGTTACTAAATGTAAAAAAATACTATTCTTTTTGGTACTTAATAAAAACGAAAAAAGTGTAACATAAATTGAGACGGAATAGCATATATAGTATATATGCACATCTAATCATGTTGCAATTATAGCAAGTCATGCACAACATGTGATAATAGATATATTATCCTAGTATCCGCACTTATACTCATCGCCTCATATATATATATATATATATATATATATATATATATATATATATATAAAACAGTTCTAGTTTGAGAAAATTCTCCAATTGAGGTCAAAGTCTTTATCTTGGTCCAAGCAAAGTTTTGACCTTCCATAATGGTATTCTCATGTCCGGAATCCACCAAATGACTGCAATATATTCAAAAGATTGCTCAACGATGTTAAGCAACGATATTTTACTCAATTTTATAATTTTAGACTCGATTCCTCAATTTTATAATTTATAACTCGATCAAAATCAAAGTCAATTTAAAACGTCACTCCTAAATTGAAGTTAAATTCGGGTTATCCATATCTCAGGAGTTCAATTATATGCTTAAATTCCCATTTGAAGTCCATTTAGGTACTCAAATTATCATTTAAGTGATTTTAGAGTTTATGTCAAAAATACTCAATTTCACTTATCGAAATTCATGTCTAATATTGAATCTAAAGGCAGATCCATGATATACCTCCAAGTTATGTTTAAATCACGTACCCCAAGTTTGAGGATTCAATTTTAGGCCAAAACTCCCCTAAACCAAGCTCTCAAGTATTTAAATCCGTGAAGAGTAAAATAAAATTGCAAACTGGGGCTTTATATATTTGGCAGATTTTTACCCTTGCGCTATGGGACACGCGACGCAATCCCATCACATGAACATGGCCTGCAATTTGGCTGCACAATGCACACTATCTCATAGGGCCTTGCGTTGTGCGATGAAGGCACGACGCATGCCCCAAAGTGCGATATAGTAGATTTTTGTATTTTATAACTTCCTCTTGAGGCGAAGAGACTCAACCCGAGCCTCTCGCAACCAACTAAACCACACCAACAAGTTCCAAGCATTGTACCAACCCATGCAAAGTCTCAGAACATGAAACAAAGCATAAATGCTCAAAATGATAGGTTATTATAATACATATATACATATATATATATATATATATATATATATATATATATATATATATATACACACACACACACACACATTAGTATACATGAATGCACACAGATACATCTCCTACCATACACCAACTCAACAATGATACGTAATTCAAAAGGTCTTTACTCACAAAATACCACTCAAAATCCAAATTCAATCATTCATCTCCATATTTTTACACATACTGATCACGTCTAACTATGCCTTGTCAAAAGGACTACGCGGTCATTGCGAATATAATCTAGTCTAAGAGTTCGGAGTCTATCATAGAGAACTAGGATTTAGCTACAACTATTCACTATCACTAAGAAGACAAGCTCGAACAATTCCTAAGTTATAAATATTAAGATTCTTTTGTCTAACTAAATAACTAATAAATTAAAGTAGTAAATTAACAACTAGAGATACTACGGGTTGTAGATAAGATTAAGGAGGTCTAGAATCATGATTTTCTCGGTTGTCGGAATCCTTCCCGCTACGTCTTCTATAATTTTCCCTAATTTTTATCTACTGATCGTGAGCACTTCAATTGCCGTAATTCTCTTACGAGCTATTATAATAATTTACTAGACATATTCTCCCGAACTACGCTAGCTGGCGTTATCTTACTGCTCACTATGATCACATTAAGGCTTTGTTATTCCTGAACCCACCTTTAAACTTGCCGTATTGATTCCTCACATATGTTAGGAGTGACATTGTTTAATAACCACCTAAATATGTACCATTTCCCAAGCAATACATAATAAATAGGCACAGTCAAACTGTGGCCATTCAATTAACTGAAATAAGCACATAGTTAAATATGTAAAGAAATTCAAAGGCTAAATATATTAAAACATATCAAGAATTCATCCTTCAAAAGGTTCCATCAAAATCCTAGATATGAAATTAGATACTCATAATAGTATGTAAAAACCCAATAGTAAAAATCATAACCAACAACAAGAATAAAGAAGAAAGGGAATACTTGTGGTTGAATTTTCCTCCTTACTCCTAGCGTATTATTTCTTCCAAGGTTGCTGTTTAACCCTAAAGTAGTGTCTCTCCCTCAAAAGTTGTGCAAAAATTATGTTTAGAATGTATTTATATGACCTAGGTAGGGTGGAGGGTTATCCAATGCAATCCAATCTCGAATAGGAAAGCTAGAATCTGCGTCAACGTTCGCGCACACGTTCCTATAGACGCGGACTCAACTTTTGAAAAAATTTCATTTCGCAAAGCGATCCGTTCCTTCGCTTCACTTCACTGTTTTGTGTATTTAATTGTCTCCCTTTTTGCTTTTTTTTTCGTGCCATGCGCGACAATGTACGAGCTACGAGTTCTTCCATCCTTTTCTTTTTACAACAAATTGCCATCTTTTGATCTTATCATCCTAGCTTACTCCTACACACAAGAAATACGTAATGAGTATATTTTACTTTAAAACAATGTAATCTCCCGTAACTCACACGACAAATGAGATCAAAACATAGTTAAAAACATACATTTTTGGTCATTTATCACCACCTCACACATGAACTCTTGCTCGTCCTCGAGTAATTTAATAATTAAGAACTTCGGCAAGAGATAAAATTTTTAACTTACTCAAATATCACACCAATGACAATGGTTTATACCAACATATAGAACCTAGCATAAGTACTATTCATACTTTTACTCAAGTTTATGTCATGCCAAGACTAATTAAAATAGTTGTGTGACTCTTTCTAACATTCTAGCCAAAAGATTGACTCCAATACATTTCATACTTACACTCGCTTCTTGTGCCAACTAAATATACGAGTTTCTTACCAATCCGTCGTAAAGCATGTGCCCTCACCAACAAAGCAAAGAGAACAATCAGTCGACACACTCTAATATGAATTCAAGTATATTTGAAGGACTCACATATTGAAAGAATTCACTCATTCTCGCAAAGAAACTCCTGTGCCTCTAAAGCTCGTACTATAGGCTTGCCCGTAGAGTAAGCCTTAACTAATTTAAGCTCACAAAGTCTAGCATCAATTAGGTCTTTATGGATTGTAATACAGGCTAAGGGACGTGTAGGATAGATATGGATAATAGTGACTAACCCTCCTAAGTATTTTTAATACAGTACACTTTAATTTTTAAGCATATCCTCTTCATGATCTGTCACGACCCAAAATCCCAACCCGTCGTGATAGCGCCTAATACACCGGCTAAGTAAGCCAAAACATAACAATAAAGAAACAGAACAACGGAACTTATAGAAATAACATAAGTCTGAAATCTCAATATATACAACCAAATACTGCTAAAACAAGGTAAATCCCCCTGAAACTAGTAAATACGGAGTCATGAGCTCTACAACGGAATACAAGTCCGAACTAAATAATAATACTGTCAAAACTGAAACAACAGTACATAAGAAAAGTCAAGTCAAAACTATGGCCAAGGATGCAACTCTACCTCGCCTCTCGAAGAGCAGTCCAACAAGCAAATCTACTGATTATAACTGGTCTCCATACCTGAATTTGCACAATTAAGTGCTGAGTGTAATATGAGCACAACCGATCCAATATACTCAATAAGTATCATAACTAACCTCGGCGAGGCAAAAGAAGCAAGAACTATATATAATACCTTCTATAACCTGTACAGTTTCATAAATCCAACAAGTACAAGACTGTAACTTGATCATGTATAAGGTATTGACATGACTATCGCTATGTGTGTACAATTACTCAATATCTCTATT